AGGCAGATGCAGGGGATATGGGTTCAATTCTTGGGTCAGGAAGATCCCCTGGAGTAAGAAATGGCAGCCCACTCCAGTATTCTTGCCTGGGAAATTCCATGACAGAGGACCCTGTTGGGCTATAGTTCAAGGGGTCGCAAAAGAGTTGGACACGACTTAGCGGCTAAAGAACAGCAAGACTAGGGTCAGTAGGAATTTAAAACAGATTAACAAGGACGGGTCCCTGTAACAGACCCAAACTAAATAAGTGAAATCTGGTATGAAGGTATTTAGGAAGCCATTAAGAAGAGACCAACCTCCAGCGAACATCCTTTGGTAACACCAACATAATCAGGGCTGCTAAGTATATTGTATGGAGTTCTTGAAATTTCAATATCTTTGAGGCAACCAGAATATTTCCTCACATTTACTTCTGGCCTGTTGAAAAGTTAAATGGAAAACAAGAGCAGTATCGTTAGGACAATGGTAGTACAGTGTCTGTGACTACCGGATGCCAGCCAAACGGAGCAAACGGATGCACAGGCAGGCGTATGTCTCTCAAACTATGCACAGGGGCATGTATGGACCCAGAAAACTGTGCTTCCATTAGCTACTGGTTGGATAAGTGGATATTAGCACCAGCTTGCACAAGGAGTCTTTATGTAGCTCTTCTTTCTCTCCTTTTAAAAAATAACCTCAACTATTGCATCTCAATACAAGGTATAGAAATTAACTGACTTCTTTGGAAGTGCTTCATATGCATAATGAAATGTATTTGTTTTTTCTCCACCCAAGAGCAGATACTTGTACCGGACAGCATAATCATACTATATAATGACAAATATTAAATAAAATCTTGCTCAAAATTTAAAAATCTGGAAACATTTACTTTGAAAAGACAATATTTCTGCCATTGAGACTTTTTTTTGAGGGGTTAGCTGAGAATAAGATAATATTTCTCTTTAAAAATTTTAAGTCAAATAAAACCTGAGAAACATTCTTTTCGATTATAGTTTCAAAAAAGAAACTTTAAGTTTACAAATTGACCCTAAAGTATTTATTGTGTATTGGAGCAGTAACAAACTAAAGCAACCAAAGGACAAAACATACATTTAATTTTTCCAATAAAGTTGAAAATGGCTTCAACATCCAAAAGACACTTGAATATTTACTTTTTGCTTACTACTTCTTAAAAAAGTATAAACATGCTGGCATGCAGTAAGTGCTTATAAAAAAGTATAAACATGCTGGCATGCAGAAAGTGCTTGATAAGCACAAGCTAACAGGATGTTAACAGTGATAATTTTTTCATCCATAGCAGCACTGTCCAGTAGAAGTTTCTGTGATGATAGAAATATTCTTTCCTGCACTGTCCAAATCAGTAATGAGTAGCCATACATGGCTGCTGACACTTGAAAAGTAGCTTGTGCCAATGAGAAACTGGATTTTTATTGCTATTTAATTTTCTTTTCTTTTCTTTTTTTGGTGACACTGCATGGCATATAGGATCTTAGTTCCCCAACTAGGGATCAAACTCACGCCCCCTGAGGTGGGAGTGTATAACCTTAAACACTGGACAGCCAGGGAAATACCATTTTTTAAAAAGAAATTTCTTTAATTTAAAGCTAAACAGCCACTGTGGCTAGTGGCTACTATATTGAATGATGCAGGTCAACAGAAATAGAAAAAGTAATATATATATTTAATGTTAATAAGCAACTCTAAGGGCCTTCCCAGTGGCTCAGTGGTAAAGAATCCGCCTGCAATGCAGAAGGTGCAGGAGACGCAGGTTCGATCCCTGGGTGGGGAAGATCCCGTGGAGGAGGGCATGACAACCCACTCCAGTATTCTTGCCTGGAGAATCCATGGACAAGGAGCCTAGTGGACTGTAGTCCACAGGGTCACAAAGAGTTGGACACAACTGAAGTGACTTAGTGCGCATGTAAGCAAGTTAACTAAAACATGTCCAATCAATATCAAGATATTATACTTGGTTGGATAATGAGTAACTCTCTCCTCACTGTCCCATGGGGGCAGGATTCCTTTTTTGCCTTAATAAAAAACACATGGCATTAGGACAAACAGGGAGGTCAGCAGTCAGACCCCTGGGAGTGTGCATCCGGGGATTTATCTCAAGCCGGCTATTTGTTCTGTTTCTTTCTCTCTAGGACTGTTTTATTTTCTTTGATCATTTCCACTTGTTCCCAAGGTCTTCCCTTCTGTTCGGTCAGCTGGTTATTACAAAAACTTGCCAGCTGGACAGTGAGAATCTTGCTTATATATTCTTCCTGTGTAAAGTGAAGGAAGCCAGTGAACTTCATTCTCAGCATTCATTTGCTTCCATGTTTGTTGAGAGGAGGTCTGATTTATCACAAGTTTCTCAGAGGTCTTATCAATAAAATAAATCACTCCTACAAGTTACACACTTCATTGTTTCAGGGAAATACAAAGAACCATTTCAAAACACAATGATTCAGCAAGCGCGACATGATGAAAATCACAGGGGATAAGTAATCACATATGGTGATCAGACTCCTAATGGAAACCACAGGCCCCTGTTTCCTCTGTTTGCCTCAGAGGCAAAATTACAAAGCTACACAGTGTCATTCCAGAGCCTTATTAGCATATACTTTCATTGAAAGCCAGCCTTTGCCTTTTAGCCATCTCAGCAAACAGCACTTGACTGGTCCGTGATGAAACAACTTATTTTTTTCCACACTTTCAGTTCTACATAGTCTAGTTTCTGAGGACTGTTTTATTTTCTTTGATCATTTCCACTTGTTCCCAAGGTCTTCCCTTCTGTTCGGTCAGCTGGTTATTACAAAAACTTGCCAGCTGGACAGTGAGAATCTTGCTTATATATTCTTCCTGTGTAAAGTGAAGGAAGCCAGTGAACTTCATTCTCAGCATTCATTTGCTTCCATGTTTGTTGAGAGGAGGTCTGATTTATCACAAGTTTCTCAGAGGTCTTATCAATAAAATAAATCACTGCTACAAGTTACACACTTCATTGTTTCAGGGAAATACAAAGAACCATTTCAAAACACAATGATTCAGCAAGCGCGACATGATGAAAATCACAGGGGATAAGTAATCACATATGGTGATCAGACTCCTAATGGAAACCACAGGCCCCTGTTTCCTCTGTTTGCCTCAGAGGCAAAATTACAAAGCTACACAGTGTCATTCCAGAGCCTTATTAGCATATACTTTCATTGAAAGCCAGCCTTTGCCTTTTAGCCATCTCAGCAAACAGCACTTGACTGGTCCGTGATGAAACAACTTATTTTTTTCCACACTTTCAGTTCTACATAGTCTAGTTTCTGATATTAAAAATCTAGACTTTGCTTTAAAAATTTCTTTGATCAGCTCAGCTTCACTATGTCCTTGTGGGAAATTTGGCACTGTTAGGTTTTGAAATACCAAAACAGTAAGCTGTAACTCTAGCCAGACTGCGCCAGCCTTGCATACATCTCGCCTTGCATACATCTCTGGGGTTTGATCAGCCACTTACAAGGGGCCTGATGCTTAAAACTTCCAGGCTAATACTGCCCGCCTGCAAATCAGAATTGAGATGCTCCTGAGTAGCTAGGATGACTGTCTGCAAACTTTCTCATCATTAATGCAAACATTTGTTTTACATACAGTATTTCTAGAGGCTCCTTTTATCTGACTCCATAAATTCTAAATAAACAAGGCAATGAAGAAGCAGCTTTGCCAAGAGGTGCAAGGGCCATGTAAACATGTGCATCTTTGCAGGCTTGCAAAAAGCAATCTAAGCATCTGGGGGCACAGTTGCTTGTTCAGCAGATAGTACAGTACCTGGGAAACCAGAGTCTGAGGTTCAGTCCCAAAGATCACTTTGTTCCCCAGAACTAGATTTGTGCCCATAAACCTGACCAGCTGCCCTTGGCCTGCACTGCTGCAAGTATGCGCTAGAGGGCACTGTGCGTGGGCTGTTGAACAAATAAGCAGAGCAAATTCATCATCACGGCTGGTGACACACGTCAAACTGCAGCTCTGTGATGGTGGGTAAGCAGCAGCATTTTTGTAAGCAAAGGGCAGGATGAGAATCATCTCAGAATGCATCACTTGCTGGTGAAATGTACTATGAATAAAGCTGGATAGGAGTCATTCTGCTTCTGCATCACCGCTTTATCTAAGAAGCCACACTGACCCAACCCATGCACTTGAAAAAGGCATGCATAAATTTAAATTTTACCTTGCTTTCATACTAGGTCAAAGGAAAGAGAAAAAAATGATTTACTTATCATTGCATTTTCATTTAGTAAAACAATAAACTATAATCATAAATCTTTTAAAACAAAAAGCATTTCACAGAGATCTACAAAGGAAAGTAAAATACCACAAGAAAGGAACACAAGCATATACCCTTGACTGTAATGAAAATAGAATCCAGTGGTGACCATCTCCCACACCATTCTCTTAGAAAATTTTTATTTTGGAATTGAATTTAAAGCACTCATGTTTATCATTTTTATGAATGGAAAATGAACAAATGTTTCCGTGCTGTAATAGTCATGAGTAGCTTATAAGGAGAGCTTATTGCCTCTTTGAACTTAGCTTGAACTTAATATATATAAAATAATTCATGTCCATCACATCTTTTGCACTTTATCATATGAAGATCTTGCCTGTGGGCAAATTACAGCTACGAATGCATGGCTCCTTGAATAGTCACAAATATGTGTCTCACAAATAAATGTCTAAAGATTGTTTTGAAATAATGTGTCATACCATAGTAATATTATAATTATGAAATGCTATACTGTGAAAGTAAAAACATTGTGGCAAGAAAGACTCACTAGGTATATAGTCTGCAAACTATTTAATAATACATAAACCCATCTCAGTTAAATTAACATATACATTTTTGTGGATAATTCCTAAAAATCACTTTATGGTAATTAAAACTACATTACCACCAGAATAGATGAAGTCATCTTTAGATAGCCTGATTTTGGCTACATTTAATTCACTCATAGAGAATTTAGTTAGTAATCTGGCAAAGTAAATCTTAGACTTGAACAATTTGCTAGATCCCCAGTATTTAAATAGTATCTGAAACATAGTAGATGGTTATCAAACACCTGTTGAATGAATAAACGGATTCTGGAGTAATAACTATGCCACTATTCAAATACATTTGATCTGCAATAATTTTTCTGACCAGACATTTAAAATCTACATTCCTAACACAAGTACAATATCATGTGGATGAATGCAGAGCCAGTTTATCTGCATTAAACTTATCAAATTATACACCTGATAAACTGAACAGGTGTCTGGTTTATGAATTTAGATACAGAAAGAAACACAAACCTCAGTTTGCATGCTCAATATCATAAATGAGACTGAAGTTCCACTGCTCGTTTGAGAAATATGAGAAGAACTGACCATCAACCTTTTCAGTTATTCTGAGACCATTCCAATTGTAATGTGTCTTTTTAGTATAGAAACACCCAGGCAGGACTTTTGTAATCATGAAAACTAGCAAACTAAACAAAATAAAACTTAAAAATATGGTGGTCTATAGTTATAGTAAACTGTTATGGTTTGGCCAAATCAATTCATCCCATCCAAATCAGATTCAATTAACTTTTGTTGAGCACCAAGTACTCTATAACTTTTATTTCTTATAGGCTGTTTTGTAACAAGCAGGAGATCAATGAAATATCACATGAAATATTTTCTGACACTTTTTAATTACTTTTATTTTGGAATTAAGTAAACTAGTAAACTAAATACATCCCCCCATCCTACTATCTTAAAAATATATGTGAAGTTTTGAAAAATATTGACATGGGCAAGAACAACTAACACTGCTTTAGCATCAAGTACATGGGAACGTCCCATTACACTATTATCACGCTCATGCTTAGCCATAACGTAGGTTACACTCACAGTGTCCTGGAACACTGACTAATTTTCAGAACACTCAGCGGAGTCAGTGCACCATTATCTCTGGTGAATGTACAGCAGAAAGGCAATTACATTCAACTCCAGTTTCCACCTTCAATAACTTTATAATTTTTTTTAACTGGACTGTAAAGGTAACAGTGATTCCCCTCCACCTCTTCAATAAAGATATCCAATTAATAATAGCTGGTTTTTAAATCCTGGTATTATTTTAACATGTAGTACAATTTTTTAGATTAGGCCTTTTCTGCAACTAAAGGTTATATGATATTCCTGTTATAATTAAACTTCAGAACTCTAGTGAGCATAGTGACCATTTAATTAAAACTTAATCCTTAGCCTTAAATATACATCAAATTACCTCAAGTTTCTCAGTGTTGGCAGACCACCAAAATATATTTTGTCATCTGCTTTCAAGTCAAGACCAAAGTTGTTTCCAGGAGATGAAGTTGCTATGTTTTCCTCCAGGTTAGTATCAATATCTACAATTGATATGTTGGCTGCAAAGGGAGAAAGTTTCACATTTTATTTGAGCAATACCAACCACATCTATATCATTTCTGCTTCTTCAAGATACTTTTACTTTAATTCTCAAATTAACAGTGTCACTATATACAGCTAATTAATAACTGCAGAAACTACATCAATAAAATACATTGTTATATGATCCACAAAGAACGCATGAAAATAGTAGCCTGAACACAAACCAGTCAAGATAAAATAAAAATATTTAGATGGACAACAGAGAACTCATTGACACAGTTTCCCATAATACAAGTAGTTAGAAAATAAAAATAATTAATTAATAAGATAAATATCTAACTAGAAATCAGACTATGAATTAGAAATAAACAAAATTTGTGATTCTGTCTGTACATTTCAGTATCCACAGAAGTACTGGAGCTGAGGCTCATCCCTAGAGGAATGAGGATGAGGTGGTTGTGCCTGGAAGTGGAGAGATGGGAATGTCTGATTTTGCAAGATGATAGGATCCACATCCATTGTTAAGTTAAATTTTAGATGGAGGATGCTGAGTGTTTCAAGAGAGGTACAGTTTTCATTGCTTACTGCTTTTCTCTCAGGTCTCTAAATATATTCCCAATATGATGAGGATAAGAATTTAGAAATAGAAAGGAAAAAGGAAAAAAGAGGGACTCTTCTCTGTTTAAACTGCTTTGTTCAGAGAGCAGATGAGAACACTTTATCTCACTGATTCTTACCCTCTTCATTCTTAAGAGTCAGGCTAGGTTCTCTCTGAATTATGTGCTATCGCACCATAATATTTGCCTAGGCCCAACCTTTAACTGCTTCATATACTTTAGATCCTTGATGCATATTGAGGCATCGGTTCATTAACAAGATAAATTTGGCCTCTAAATCTTTGCTGGATATAACATCTGAATTAGCAAGGGTCTAAAAATGGCCACTTTAACCAATGGGTTTTAAGGGCATTTCGAAGTGTTTATTTTTGGCGCATTAGTTTCTTGGATATTGCTGGATCAAATAAATATAACAAACACTAGGTTAAGCAAATTTAAACACAGATATTAATTTTATGGTTGCTCAGATCTTGCAACACACTAACATGAAAAGTAATGCTTAAAAAAAGGGACATAGAACAAGAAGTACTTCTCGTTTGTTTGATCTTGAAATATTATTTTCTCCCAACTCACCATTTTTTAGAAGAGTGTTCTTTGAAAAATAAAGAGAAATATCAAACTCCAAAATTCCATTGTAATCTGTAGCTCTTCCATTTCAAAAGGAAGTATCCTCAGTAAAACCAAACATAACTACCTTAAAAAATATCTAAAATAAAATACCCAAACCTATTAATGCCTCAGATCCTCAAAGAAGAATTTTATAAAGATAAACAAAAAAAAAAATCACTTCAAAAATAACTGCCTAATTAAAAACTATTAAGCAAGTTAAATTTAAAAAAGTTAATTACTTTCCAGCACATATCAATTTCATACTCACATATCTTTTTGACCAGACTGGCAGCAAAAATAAAAAAGGTTTATAAAAATGTTTTCAAAACTTTTTCATACATATTCCTTTTTTTTTTTTTTAATCCATATCAGGAAAGAAGTTTTCACATAGGGCTATTGACTGGAATGTGAAAATAGGCTTTTTTTCTATAGACCTGGTACACATTTTAATAATGTCTGTGAAAATGAGATGTTGTCTCTCTATCATAGGCAAGCCAGTGACTGGAGGTAGATTTTCTCCTTATCCCTGAGTGAATATATATATTTTTAGAAATCATTCTAAGAAAAACTGATTAAAAAGTAGAAACACAATTGAAGTGAAACTCACTGGCCCACTGAAGTATTAGCTTTGGTATTGAGACGAAGGATGGCATATTTTTACTGATTTAAGGAAAGGGTTCTACTCTGTCCTTCATGAGTGACAGATATGCAGCGGGTTCTGTATGGAATGCTAACACTTGCTTTTATTCCTTGCCCTATTTCTTTCCCTTACAGAAAGCAATTAACATAAAATTTTAGAGTTGATGAGTTCAGACATCATTTATGGGTAAACAGGGAATTAAGGGTTTTATTCAATACTAGACAGAGAGTAGGAGCTTAACAAGTATTTTCTAATCAATACTGAGTCGCTATAAAGGAATCCTTTTCACTTTGGCAGGTCTTTTCTTCTCTTAGTCCACTGAAAAGCTAAGTGATCAATTTTGCGTCCGTATCAATGCACTTGGGGGGACATGGGGCACCTCTTTTAGTGACTGTGGTTCTACTAACTGACTCAGAAGGTGGGAGTGCTTCCTGAAAAAGACAGTTTGAACTTCAAGGGACAGTGCTTTTACAAACCAGCGGAGAATAACTTGTGTAAAACAAATAATCAGGTATCTGAAAAGGAGCAATAGCCTTCTTTGAATTCCTATCTCACTACTCCATGGATTCTGACCTTGCTAAAACCCACAGTGTCCTCCTACATCCAAACCCTATGGGGTCCTTTGGTCTTTCAGTTCAGTTCAGTTCAGTCGCTCAGTCGTGTCCGACTCTTTGCGGCCCCATGAATCGCAGCACGTCAGGCCTCCCTGTCCATCACCAACTCCCAGAGTTTACTCAAACTCATGTCCATAGAGTCGATGATGCCATCTAGCCATCTCAGCCTCTGCCTTCCCCTTCTTCTCCTGCCCCCAATCCCTCCCAGCATCAGGGTCTTTTCCAGTGAGTTAACTCTTTGCATCAGGTGGCCAAAGTATTGGAGTTTCAGCTTCAGCATCAGTCCTTCCAATGAACACCCAGGACTGATCTCCTTTAGGATGGACTGGTTGGATCTCCTTGCAGTCCAAGGGACTCTCAAGAGTCTTCTCCAACACCACAGTTCAAAAGCATCAATTTTTCGGCGCTCAGCTTTCTTCACAGTCCAACTCTCACATCCATACATGACCACTGGAAAAACCACAGCCTTGACTAGACAGACCTTTGTTGGCAAAGTAATGTCTCTGCTTTTTAATATGCTATGTAGGTTGGTCATAACTTTCCTTCCAAGGAGTAAGCGTCTTTTAATTTCATGGCTGCAATCACCATCTGCAGTGATTTTGGAGCCCCCAAAATAAAGTCTGCCACTGTTTCCACTGTTTTCCCATCTATTTCCTATGAAGTGATGGGACCAGATGCCATGATCTTAGTTTTCTGAATGTTAAGCTTTAAGCCAACTTATTCACTCTCCTCTTTCACTTTCATCAAGAGGCTTTTTAGTTCTTCTTCACTTTCTGCCATAAGGGTGGTGTCATCTTTATATCCTTTGGTCCTTACCTTAATCCAAATCTGTGCAGTATGTGAGGTTAAAATTTCCATCCTTCTAGAAGTTTCCTCCTTTGACTTCCATAATACCAACTTCTCCAGCTTCTCTTGCCTTTCCAACCTCATTCTCAGTCTCCTTCCCTGGGACCCTATTTTTCTGAACACTTCTGAAATGTTGATGGTCACCAGAATGCTTTCATTTGGCTATTTGTCAGGTTTCAGCTATCTGGGTAGCCTCAAGTTTATATCTACTTACTATATGTTGACCACTCAGAAATATACATGCCTCGACCTGATTTCTGCCTAAAAAAATCCACATTCAGCAGGTGATTCATTATATACCTCCCCAGCTGATATTCTGAATTAAAATGGTTATCTTCTTCCTCCCAGATCTGTATTATTTATCTGGTAGCATTAAGACCCCTACCCAATCTCCTAATCAGACAGTCATTTTTTCTCCTCACCATTCTATATCTTACCAATCAACAGCCCTACTAATTTCATCTCCTAAATAACTCTATTATCTGTCCTCTTTAAACAATTAGTTATTTTATTTTTCAATGTGTTGCATGGCTTTATGAGGTTCCCTGGTGGCTCAGTAGGAAAGGATCCACCTGCCAATGAAGGAGAAGCAGGAGATGTGGATTCGATCCCTGGGTCAGGAAGATGCCCTGGGGAAGGAAATGGAAACCCACTCTACCATTCTTGCCTAGAAAATCCCAAGGACAGAGGAGCCTGCGGGCTATAGTCCGGGGGCGGCAAAGCGTCAACAGGATTGTGTGGCTGAGCAGACATGCCTGCAGGAACTCAGCTCCCTGACCTGGGGCTGAGCGCAGCCGTAGCAGCGGAAGTCTGGAAGCCTAACTATCAGGCCCCCAGGGAACTCACTCTGCCCTGTTTTAAAAATACTTTTATCAACGTCAAACTGACACGGTATAACTTGTCCATGTTTAAAATGTACAATTTGACAAGTTTTGAGATCTCTATACATGCATGAAATGATCACAGTAAAAAACTTGAGCATGTCAATCACTCCAATAGTTTCCTTAAGACTCTTTGTCATCCTTCCTTCCACTGTCCCTCCCTATGAAACCCTATCCACAAATATCCTCTAGCTGCTTACTGTAACTATATGTTAGTCTGTATTTTCTATGTAATTTTTACATAAATGTACTTTTTTGTCTGACTTCTTTTACTCAGAAAAATTATTTCGCTATTAATCTATTTTGTGTGCATATTAATAGTTCATTATTTTCTTTTACCACTAAACAATATTTCATTGTATAGATATACAACAACTTGTATATCCATTCAACTGCTGATGAATGTTTGCACTGTTTTTTGTTTTTTTGAGTATCACAAATAAAGGTGCTATACATTTTCTGGTCCAAGTCTCTCTATGGATATATACTTTCACAAATCTTGGGTGAATATTTAGGAGTGGAATGGTTGCTTCATATGACATGTCTATATTAAACCTTTTAAGAAACTGCCAACCTGTTTTCCAATGTGGCTGTACCATTTTTATATCCTTGTCAGCAGTGCATAAGAATTCCACTTGCTTGACATCCTTGCCAGCCCTGGGTATGTTCAGTCTTTTTAATTATAGACATTCTAGTAACCGTATAATGGTATCACATTGTGGATTCATTTTGCACTTCTCTGCTGTCAAATCCCACTGCAACTCTTATTTCAAGCCATCATTTATCTCCTGTCTGAACTATTATTGTTCTTAATTGGTCACTCTGCCTCCAGTTTAATCCTCTGAAAATTTACTTTTCTTATTTCTCCTCTCTCTGATTATTTCCTTATAGCTCCCTTTGTGGGGTCTTCCTTTACTATACTGCTTCAATATTGCTGTTTGCTCCAGGGCTTTGGATAATCTTATTCTAGATATGACTGGTTTTTCTCATCTCTATTAAGCTGCAACTATTTAAAACATAATGCTTTGCAGCCATCCATCTCTCCCCTAGAACTCTGTTAATCCTCAGATGCGCATAATGAATTGCCTGTCAATTACATGGCTTCCTTAGGTTGCTAAAGATACTAAGAGTTTAATACAACATGTCTAAAATAAAGCTCAGCTTCTTTTCTAAAAACTATGTTTCTTCTTGCATCCAATTGCTTGGTAAATGGCACTGATATATGTTTTTGTTATTTTAAGAAAAATAAAGGAATTATTTAAAAAAAAAAACTTACTCTTCACATTGAGTAGTTCATAAAACTCAATTTAAAAATGCTTAATATCTTTCAACTCAGTTTTTTCCTACTCTTTCTTATAGTTTCCTTCTCCTTGCTCTTCCACTGGTTTCCTGCAGATTGCAATAGGATCTGAACTTGTCATCAATCTACCCTCCAAGTTGCTGCTAAAGAAACTTCACTAAAACACAAATCTGGCAGTATCACACTCTTGATTAAAACTCTTAGTAGTTCTTTCCCTATAGCTTTCAGGAAGAGTTGAAAGTCCTTACAGTAAGTCCCCTACATACAAACCTTTAAGATGCAAACGTGTGTTTGTGTGTCCAATCACGTAAGCTAATTCATGTGTATAGAGTACACTGTCATGTGTGTGCATCCACTACACGTAGTTGCAGTCTTGTGTACTTTACTGCACAGTACTGTATAGAGTACAGTAGTGCAATATCTTTATTTCAAGCTCTGAACATGCGCCATCAGCGTCAGGTGTGAACGAAATTGCAGCTGGCCCTCTCCTCTGTCTCCAATTGTTGACAACACTTCAGCTCTACCATCTCCCACTTCTTTCCCCTCCAGTCAGTAAATTTTCGTGCCTGTTCAGTTGATGCCAGCCCCTGTATGCCCGCGGTTGTACTGTACCACTGTACTTTTCAAGGTTCTGTACTGTAAGGTTAAAAATATTTTATTTTTGTGTGTGTGTTTTTTATGTACTATTTGTGTGAAAAGTAACATAAACTAATTACAGTACAACACTACATAGCCAGTTGTGTTGGCTGGGTGTCTAGGCTAACTTTTTTGGACTTACAAACAAACTGGACTTACAAGTGTGCACTTGGAAGAGAACTTGTTTGTACGCAGGAGAATTACTATGGTTCAGCTCAGGCCAGTGCCAGGTCACCTCAGTCATGTCCTACTCTTTGCGACCCTATGGGCCATAATATGCCAGCTATCTGTCCATGGAACNACCTGTCTCCATATGGTAATTAGTTTTACTCTCTAATGGCTGATTGACTTGTCTGTCTTCCCCTTTAGACGGCAAGTTCCTTAAAGACACGGGCTCATCACAGACTTCACTTTGTTCTTGCCTAATAATGGCATCCGACTCCAGTACTCTTGCCTGGAAAATCCCATGGACAGAGGGTCCCGGTAGGCTGCAGTTCATGGGGTCGCAAAGAGTCGGACACGACTGAGCGACTTCACTTTCACTTTGTTTCTTTAATATTTACTGGGCTTCCCTAGTAGCTCAACTGGTAAAGAATCCCCCCTGCAATACAGGAGACTGGTTTGATTCCTGGGTTGGGAAGTTCCCTTGGAGAAGGGATAGGCTACCCACTCCAATATGCTTGGGCTTCCCTAGTAGCTCAGCTGGTAAAGAATCTGCCTGCAATGAGGGAGACCTGGGTTGGGAAGATCCCCTGGAGAAGGGAATGGCTATCCACCTCAATATTCTTGCCTGGAGAATCCTTGTGGACAGAGCAGCCTGACAGGCTACAGTCCATGACATGACTGTAGCGGTATCTGCAAACACCTGAAAGCACAGCACAGTACTTACTAGGTGTTTGGCAGATACGTGTTAAACATAGGAACGAAAGACGGTGCAAGGTTATATCTAAATTTTTGTGAAATGTCACACTGGCATATTCAAAATGACTTAAGTCTAATTATATAAACAGAAGAATCAAAGTTTCATTTGTAGATACAAGCAAGGCCATAGTGCCCAGAATTAGGGGGATTATACTAAGATAATAACAGCGCACTGACACCTAATAGTCTTGGATTTCTGTCTTGGTTGTAAGATTTTATGTATAAATGTTTGGGACCACATATAAGCTTCAGTCTACATTTTCTTTTTGCTAAACCAGAACAAAATACACAAGCAAATGAAGTAATGTTTGGGAAGTGTTTTGAAGACGTCCCAGAACCATAAAAATGTTACATTATTATTAATCAATTATTAGCTTGCCCACATACACACTTTTGGCACTTTCAAAAAGCTAAGAATTGGCAGCTGTGCTCTGTCGCCTGTACGAATTCTACCTGTGGGCCATGCTACAGGAAACGTCTCGGCAAAATGGGAAGAAAAGGAAAGCATGCAAGCTTTTCAAATCTACTACAGGATATAATTTTACAAGTTGTAAGAGTTTTATGCTTTCAAATTAAGGTCTCACTTTCAAAAGAAAATGACAGAGTACCATTTGGCTCTTCAATCAGTCATGTCTAACCCAAACCACCTGTAATCTAAGCCAAAGAAATGACTGTATCATTTTTCACAGAATTTGTGAGTACCTAAAATGACAGACAGGGTCTTCTTCATGATTAGGTACGTGGGAGCTTTAGATAGCATGATTAAGGCTCAGAGTGCATTATTACTATAAAAGCTCACCTTGTTTTTGAATTCTTGACAAGGTGAATGATTTCCATTTCCCATCATTGTGGTTTTGGTTGCTGACCACGGAAGCCACTCCTGAACCCAGATCATAGCTGACTTTTATGTGCCCATCAGTCAGCTCCACACTCATGAAATCCCTCTATGAAGAGAGGAAAAATACACCAGTGATTAGACACACAGAGAAATATATGGGTATTCCCTTTGTGGGATTTGTAATAGGCCTTTATGGTTAAATTACTGAATGTGTTGATCTGTAAGTGAAATCCATTTTTGGAAATAGAATCTGTATCAGTATTTTATGAATGTTTGTGGGTGTGATGTTATGGTGCAAATGGTCAAAGCTGAATTACTAGGACGTATCCTTTTATGACAGGAGTAGAAAGTGGGTTCCTTTGAAAATGTACTAAGCAAACTAAACAGGATGTTCCCAGAAAGAAGTTACTAGGAAACACTGACCTGGAAAAAATAATAAGGATATTTAGAACTACCTTCTCACTAAGGTGTTTAGAAGAAGGCTAAGGAAGGGTGTTTTTCTGCTGCAAGTTTCCTTATAGAGAGAATCTTTACTGGGTGTTTCTTTTAAAGAATTATAAGGCAGTTATTCTGAAAATAAATGATAATTAAATTATATATGTAATTAAAGTTATTGATGGGAATACATAAATACTATGCACCACTCTTTGCTATGCACACTCATCCCAGACTCCTCTGAACAATAACGATAATTCAACAATAACTGATAACTGCATTGGAACCCTACAAAAAAAGAAGCAAACCATAACTTCAGTTGTGAAAGATCAACTGTGCAAATCTTTACCAGGTCTCGTGTGGCAAGGTACATCAGGAGAGCACTTGAAGAAAATGTCCTGAACTTGAACAGGACAGTGGAGATGTTGGGGTACCAGCGAATGGGGCGACTGACCAATGCATAGCCTTCTCCATCAAACTGAATGGTCCCCTCACTATCTTCCACCTGTGGACTAAAGAGAGACATTTCACGTGAATCAGATGATGTCTACATGGCCCATGCATTTTCAATACATCGCACTCTATCTTGTGACACTGGGCTGTGGGCTGTTGTAGGGCAGGGACAAGCCCAGATACATCTTCCATCCTTCCCCTTCTCTCCAGTGCCACCATCAGGCCAGGTAACCACCATCTCTCACCTGGACTTCATTAGGTGTTCAATAACCAGGTCAATGATGTTTTAAATCCTTTTGCTGAGGTGCCTAATGATGGTTATGTCGGTGCTTAAGTGTATCTTAGTGGTGTGAACCAGAGGGATTTGGGGACATGCTGAGAATGCGTTATTACATTTACCAAATACATAATATAACAGGGAGTAGGGGTTGGATGAAAAGGGTAAAGGTGGTCTAAAGGTGCTAACTTAAAAGTTGTAAGAAGAAAAGCTATGATGGAATATAGACTCCTATTCTCTGAATTCTGGCTATCCAGCTGGATTTTCTGGGACATATTAGATTCAGACAATGAACGGCTCCTCTAACTGTGTGTGTTTGCTGATCTGTCTTCTTCCCCAGTATGTAAGCTCTATGAAGTGCTTATGGGTCAGGCTTCATGTCAGGCACAACCTCAGCATCCAGTGCAATACTTGGCTCATAGTAGAAGCTGGTAAATATTTGTGTAATGAAGGGGATATTAGTATTGATTTACTAATTTACAATTTGATTATTGCCTCACAGAGAATACATGTTCAATCAACACTGGTTGAATAATTAATGAATATCTAAGACAGTTCTTGTAAATATAATGTTTAAAAAGATTTCTTTTTCAAAAGAAAAGTTATCATCTCTCTTACCTAACTGATGTTAACAGCATAAGTTTTGATTGTGGAGATATTTTTAAATTTTAAATATCTGCATCTTAGTTTATATTTGAATCTGTGAAACTAGACTGTTGTATTAACTTGAGAGTAGAGAGGAGCTATTGAGAAATACAGCAATGCAAAATAACAATATCTGAGACTATTATTTGTATGAAATCTTGGCTAATGAGACAAATAATAGTGTACAAACATTAATGGGCTTGTGGAGGAATAACTGTTTTGCATTTTAGATAAGTTGGCTTCCTCTCTGTTTTTGGAAAAGAGAGAAATAAAACTCTGAAGACAAAAGGCAGGGAAGAGTCTTATCTGTGTTCTTCACAATCCTGTAATTGCAAGTTATATCTAAACAGGTATAAAATCAGATTGATATAGTTTTGCATAATGTAGCTTAAAGCTTAAAAGATGCTTTTTCAATATTCATGAAAAGTGTTAACTGAAAGGCTTGAGGGATGAAATCAGCCTATTAACAATATAATTTATAGTGAATAAATTCAGTGAATAAATGATGAATTTGGTCACCTTTCATCATTATTAAAAATCCATTAAAATCTGGAATATCATGATGCTAGAGATAAGAAAATGTAATTTAGGCTCTGGGCTTCCCCGGGGGCTCAGATGGTAAAGTGTCTGTCTGTAATGCTGGAGACCTGGGTTCGATCCCTGGGTCGGGAAGATCCCCTGGAGAAGGAAATGGCAACCCATTCCAGTACTCTTGCCTGGAAAATCCCATGGACAGAGGAGCCTGGTAGGCTACAGTACCAAGTAGAAGGTCCGTGAGGGTCTCAAATACTTGGATTTTGCATTATGTACCACCATGCTAGCAATAACAACCCCAGAAAGGGTGTGGGGATCACCACTGACAGTTTCCCAAATGCTTTGACCCAAAGCATTGTTACTTACAACTCGAAAAGAAAAAAACATAAAACTTCACTACATAATGTCAGAATAAGCACTGGAATAAAAAACATGTCACATTTGTATCCTGATGTTCTTATGGCCTTAATCTATTAATTTCCTCAGCACATAATGGAAAGAATGGCAGCATCGATGGCAGGTAACCTGGAGTCTGATGCAGGATCTCAGAGTCACGCAACACCTCAGGTCTCTGTCTCTACTCTGAGATGAGAGGTTTAGATCAGTGGACGATTTCTAAAGCCCATTCCCACTTCAACCCTGTAAGAGACTCTTCTGTTCACACAACAGGCAAATCTGCAAGCAGGAGTTTTGTACAAGAGCAGCAAAACATATGGTTGTAGATCAGGCTATTTTTTTTAGTTCATTAACCAAAAACCAGGTAAGTGAAGTGAGTGAAGTCACTTAGTCATTCGTGTCCAACTCTGCAACCCCATGGAGTGTAGCCTACCAGGCTCCTCCGACCGTGGGATTCTCCAGGCAAGAATACTGGAGTGGGTTGCCATTTCCTTCTCCAGGAGATCTTCCCAACCCAGGGATTGAACCTGGGTCTCCCACATGGCAGGCAGACGCTTTACCATCTGAGCCACTGGGGAAGCTCCAGGTAAACCAGGCTTCAAATTGGTGACTTTGACGTTGGGGAAAAATGAATCTTTCCAATCACAGTCCATAAGATTTCAACAGCTAATGTTTTCAACAGCTGGAGTTTTCCTATTCATTTTCAACATATTTACTAGGAAGAGTGACTATTCTTTTATAATTAGTAAATGATAATCTCACAGCCTCCAGAAAGAAAACCACAACCACAGAAAGCTAACCAAAATGATCACATGGACCACAGCCTTGTATAACTCAGTGAAACTATGAACCATGGCATGCAGGGCCACCCAAAATGGATGGATCATTGTGGAGAGCTCTGACAAAATGTGGTCCACTCATGAAATGAATGGCAAAATGCTGCAGTATTCTTGCCTTGGGAATCCTAAGAACAGTATGAAAAGGCAAAAAGATGACACTGGAAGATGAGCCCCCCAGGTCGATAGGTGTCCAATATGCTACTGGGGAAGAGTGGGGAAATAACTCCAAAAAGAATGAAGAGGCTGAGCCAGAGCGGAAATGACACCCGGTTGTGGATGTGTCTGGTGGTGAAAGTAAAGTCCAATTCTATAAAGAACAAAATGGCATAGGAACATGGAATGTTAGGTTCATGAATCAACATAAATTAGACGTGGTCAAGCAGTAGATGGCAAGAGTAATCATTGACATTTTAGGAATCAGTGAACTAAAATGGACAGGAATGGGCAAATTTAATTCGGATGACCAATTTATCTACTACTGTGGGCAAGAATCCCTTACAAAAAATGGAGTAGCCCTCATAGTCAACAAAAGATTTGGAAATGCAGTACTTAGGTGCATTCTCAAAAATGACAGAACTATCTCTTTCATGAGCAGATAATTGGATTAAAGCTTTACTGAGCAAGGCCCTGCTCACCAGAGCAAGATCCAGTTTTTCCCACCACCAGTCCCTCCAATCAAGAAGCTTACACAAGCTTCTTTGCCTCATCCATCAGAAGGCAGACAGAAGAAGAAAGAAGCAGCACAGTCCCACAGCACCTAAAACAGAAACCTTATTACAAAAGGTTAATTGTGTAAAAAGCAGAAAGTTATGTCCCAGATGAAAGGACAAGATAAAATCCCAGAAAAACAATGAAATGAAGTGAAGATAGGCAACCTTCCAGAAAAATAATTCAGAATAATGATAGTGAAGATGATTCAGGATCTTGGGAAGATAATGGAGGCAAAGACTGGAAAATACAAGAACTGGCTACCAAAAATCTACAAGAACTAAGGAACAAACAAACAGACATGAATAATACACTAGAAGAGATCAATAGCAGAATAACTGAGGGAGAAGAACAGGTACATGGCCTGGAGGACAGAATGGTGGAAATCACTGCCGCAGAACAGAATATAAACAAAAGAATGAAAAGAAATGAAGACAGCCCAAGAGACCTGTGGGACAACATTAAACACACCAACATTTGCCTTATAGGGGTCCCAGAAGGAGAGGAGAGAAAGGACCCAGTAAAATATTTGAAGAGATAATAGCTGAAAACTTCCCTAACGNACAACAAACTGTAGAAAATTCTTAAAGAGATAGGAATACCAGACCACCTTACCTACCTCTTAAGAAACCTGTATGCAGGTCAAGAAGCAATAGTTCGAACTAGACATGGAACAAGACTGGTTCAAAATTGGGAAAGGAGGACATGAAGGCCTGAGATCTTTGCAGAATTGATAATTAGCAATGCTATAGTCTTACATAATATGCATGGCTGAAAGGACATTTAAATGCTTTAGATGTTTGGTTGACAATAAACTTTTGAAAATTCTACTTATAAATTTACTGAAGAAATGTTTAGGGAAAAGTTGGTGTTGATTTGTGAGTAGCAGAATGATAATGTAGACCTCATTGTCCTTGTACTGAAATAATTTTACAGACAACATTCTATAATAGATTTTATCAAAGATTATGAACAAAACCACTATAAACCATGAATACATCACACTTTCAAATTGTCTCCAATGCCAAGTTGAAAAGTTCATGATGACCAAAAAAAAAAAAAAATAGAAAGATCAAAGTTAAAACTTTTGGGGAGAGTATATTTTGAGGCTACTTTCTTCTATAAAACTCTAGAGATATTGAGAAGAAAATGTGAAGTACTCTCTGCTACATTAATGGAGAATTTAGGTCCTAGCAATGTACCCGTTCTCTTTATATTAGAAATAAAAAATATAAACTCCTTAGCACCTAATTACTTTAGAGTTACTATGTGTGTTGATTAAGCTTCCAGGTTTTAATTTACATTTTATAGCTTTAACTAAATATAATTAAAATTGTTGTAGGCTCAGTTGATCAGTGGCCTTTAAGTTTTTATGCAGAGAAATCTTGTACTTCTACTTGATTTTTTACATACTCTATTTAGGTTTATATAAGAATATTTATATATGCTTTATATGCTTGATAAATATTTTTGAATTTCAACATTCTAACCTCTATCTTATACTTAATGATGGTTATTATGAAACTTTCTCCTGGCCTATCTTGACCTCTGTTTTTCCTTTCCCACTTACAATCTTCAAGCCCCATGGGTTTCCACTTGAAACACTTATCGGATGCTATAAGTCATTTCATAAACCCAGTAGGAAACAAAACCTGCAGTATGCTTCTCTATTTTCTTGTAAACATAAACAGAGTGAATCCAGGCTCTAAGGGGCCTGCAGTTTAATCAGTTAAGGAGAGCTTTCTTTAAGTAAAACTGAAATATGACTATAAAAGAGCCACAGACATCCAACACTTCCTGGACACAAAGGTGAGCTGGAGTGGAAAGAGATAGTAGTGTTAACTGACTAAGGCTAAAATACCTTGCTGTTGTTATTTAGTCACTAAGTCACGTCCAACTCTTTGCGACTTCATGGACTATAGCTTGCCAGGCTCCCTTGTCCATGGGATTTCCCAGACAAGAATAATGGTTTGGGTTGCCATTTCCTTCTGCAGGGAATCTTCCCATCCCAGGGGTCGAATCCTCCATCTCATGCTTGACAGGTGGATTCTTTACCACTGAGCCACCTGGGAAGCCCTGAAATATCTCACCTTTGCAAACTTTACAAAAACACATGACCGTGTCCAAGTACTAGGGTACTCCCCAAGGCCTTGGAAAGTGCCTACGCAAACTGGGGAGAGGACTTGAGGTCACTTCGCTTCCTGGTAAATCCACCTTTGGACACAATCACTTAAAACTTGTTGCTTATCATCCACATGATAATGGAACACTGCACAATAAAATTGAAGCTTTTGTGATGCACAGGCCAGACAGACGTTAGGAGAGTCCTCCTCTTAACTAACCTGACGGTACATCCTTTGCAGTCACCTTCTATTTCTCGGAAATTCCACAATCCTATAGGTTTGCTGTCAAAGTATGCTTCTCCCATACAGCCAGTGAATGTGATCACACGCACAGCATCAGCCTTCTGCGGAGAGAAACATATTTGTTAGAATTTCACAAAAAAAATCTTAGGAGAATCCATGCTGGTGTTGTTTAGTTGCTTAAGTAAGTGAGTAAGTGTTAGTTGCTCAGTCATGTCTGACCCTTTGTGGCCCCATAGACTGTATAGCCTGCCAGGCTCCTCTGTTTGTGGGATCCTCCAGGCAAGAATACTGGAGTGGGTTGCCATTCCCTTCTCCAGGTGACCTTGCCAACCCAAGGATTAAACCTGGGGTTTAGTCCTTTAGCTGCGTGCAACTCTTTGAGAGCCCATGGACTGTAGCCAACCAAGTTCCTCTATGAGATTTCCCAGGCAAGAATACTGGAGTGGGTTGCCATTTTCTTCTCCAGGGGATGTTCCCAACCCAGGGATTGAATCTGCATCTCCTGCGTTGGCAGGCGGACTCTACCACTGAGCTACCAGGGAAGTCCTACAGTATTCATGAGAGTTGTTATCTGAGCAGAAGAATCTTGAGTAGTTATTATCCACTCTTTGTAAAAATCTTGGTTGTGTACATATCCATTTTTTAACCATATAATAATATATCCTCAGATCCTGGTTATTCTGGATTTACCAGTTTATCACCATTAGTAAATAAACACTTCATGTTTCTGACTAAATGAACTGCTGAGATTCTGTTTTCTTCTTGGTCTATAACATAGGATTATTAGGACAATTATATAAAAGAATTTATTTATGGTTCCACATTCAATGCCTGGCACAGAGATGGGTGTTTAATAAATGCTAGTGCTCCTACACCACTAAAAGGATTTCTCCTCAGAGATTATGAGAAAGGGTTGTTGTTGAGTTGCTAACTTGTGTCTGACTCTTTTGTCCATGAGATTTCTCAGGCAAGCATGCTGGAGTGGGTTGCTACTTCCTTTTCCATAGGGGAAGTGGTAGATACTGACAAAGGGGAAAAAATGCTTGCATAGTGATTACCCTATGAAACTGCTGTCCCGTTTTTCATTTCCTTTTACATTCAAGTAGGTTTCTGGTGCAGGAGAGTGAAGGGACAGAGTCGATTTGTAAGAGAAGGGACCCTGTGGTTGTTGCTTGGGGGCATACACAGCGCAGAGCCTGACATCTAATAAGGGTGGAATAAAATATTTGTTGAATGACAACCTTAGTGTCATTCTTACAGGGAAAGGTCTTTTTTAAATTTTTATTTTATATTGGAGCATGCCTGTCTGCCAAAGCAGGAGAAGCAAGAGATGTGGGTTCGATTCCTGGGTTTGGAACATACTCTGGAGAAGGGAATGGCAACCCACTCCAGTATTATTGCCCAGAGAATTTTATGGAGAGAGGAGCCTGGCAGACTACAGTCCATGGATCCCAAGGAGCCAGACATGACTGAGCACATACACTATAGTTGACTAACCATGTTGTGTTAGTTTCAGATGTACAACAAGGTGATTCAGTTATACATATACATCTATTCCTTTTCAAATGCTTTTCCCATTTAGGTTATTGCAGAATATTCATCTGAGTTCCCTGTGCTACACAGTGGGTCCTTCTTGGTTATCTGTTTTAAATACAGTAGTGTGTACATGTCAATTCTTGGTATACAACACTCAAGAAGGAGGAGAATGATTCAGTTCTCTCTAGAGAGACTTGCTGTAATTTAAACAACTGTTCGTTTTGGTATTGACAATGTTACAATTCCACAACACTTTGCCAAAGTGAATCCACATTTATCTGAGTAACCTGGAAGGAAAAAGTGAATTGACATATTTGGGTTTTAGAATAAATATAAGAAGATAGTCACAGAGTAGTTAAACATTTGTAGGTATAATTTAGGTTAAACTCATGAACATGTACATCTTGCTACTGCTATAATCAAATGGGGCATTGCCATGGAGAAGAAATGCTGGTCAGACACAGACATTTACAAGTCAAGGACAGTCCTTGGGATTCTCTGTTATCTGTGGAAGCTTCCCTTAATTTTCCGAAGGCTGATTATCCTACTTGTGAATTCTACTTGCTTTTTGTTTTTCCTCTTGTATTATAAAAACTATACCTGGGATATTTTCCTGCTCCTGTGAATTTTCATTAACATGTCAATTTAGTTACCTGTTTCAGTTTTTGGTTCATGCAATGGTATGGCAGGAACCTTGAAACTCTTGGTCAAAATAATTAAGATTTTCTATAGATTGCATTTGCCTTTACTTTCCCCCTCTCATTCTGGCATAAATTAGCTTCTTTATGCCTGCTGCTACTAAGTCACTTCAGTCGTGTCCGACCCTGCGCAGCCCCATAGATGGCAGCCCACCAGGCTCTTCCATCCCTGGGATTCTAAAGGCAAGAACACTGGAGTGGGTTGCCATTTCCTTCTCCTTCTTTATGCCTAGTGACATCTGCATAATAAGAATTATTTAAGGTACAATTTAAGGTGTGACTACCAGATGGTAAAGAATCCTCCTACAATGTGTGACACCTGGGTTTGATCCCTGGGTTGAGAAGATCCCCTGGAGGAGGGCATGGCAACCCACTCCAGTATTCTTGCCTGGAGAATCCCCAGGGACAGAGGAGTTTGGTGGGCTACAGCCCATAGGGTTGCAAAGAGTCAGACATGACTGGAGCGACAGCACATAGCACCATATCTTAGGCATTTCTTATAAATTTTATGCATATAATCTCACTATTCATTGTGGTAGGAAGGGATGGTGGTTAAGAACAGAGATTCTTATGCGTGGTAACAAGTGTTCAGATTCCAGTTCCACCACTGACTGTCACGTGATCTTGGGTGAATCATTTAATTTATTTCTTCCATAGATTTCTTAAGTATAAAATGAAGCTTTTATCTACATTTTCAGCTTCTTATAAAAATTGTTAATTCATGTAAATTACTTAGAACATTACTTAGCACACAGTAAGGATTATATAAATGATATGAGTTTATTACTGCATATTATTCTACAGTATGCAAGCAGTGTAGATATTTTCATCTTACTATTCTAGTTGAGGAAACTGAAGCCCAAGGGGTTAAGTGACTTGCCTAAGATCATATTTTAGCAAGTGATACATCAGGGGACTCAGCCTGGATTTAATTTCAAAATTTCTTTCTTTTTTTCTTTCTGGTTTTTTTTTTTTGTGTGTGTGTGTGTGTGCATGTTCAGTTGCTAAGTTTTCTCCAACTCTTGTGACCCCATGGACTGTAGCCCACCAGGCTCCTCTATCCATGGGCTTTTCCTGGCAAGAATACTGGAGTGGGTTACAATTTCCTCCTTCAGGAGATCTTTCTAACCCAGGGATGGAATGCATATCTCCTGTGTCTCCTACATTGCAGGCAAATATAATTCTGTGCTACCCCTGTATTTATCTTTCTGAGGAGGAGAGAAATTGGCAATATGATATGGTATATTACTATGTACCATATACATTTATATGCAGCTCTAAGAAAAGAGGGTGATTTTAGTATGCAGGTATGGAACCCATTCCAATACTTTAAACACACAGGTTTAAAAAGATTGTTTTCAGATTGGATATTTGAGGAAGAAAATTCTTACTCAAAATATATCCATGTTTTCATAAAAACAAATTAAGCAAAAAGCTGTCAAGTTTTGCAGTGTTGTGTCCTGTCTTTGCCCAAAGTCACCATGCCAGGAACTATAGAAATGGATGGGGAGAAGCACATTACCTTCAATTTCCCAGTCAAGCCACCAACAAACAGCATTGCATTTGCATCCACATCTAGAATAGTGTACCCAGGGGATGATGCTGAATGGTATGTACTGGGTATAATGCTGGCTTTGGGTCCATCCAGAGCTCTCACGGAAATAGTTCCATTTCTCCCAGTTCTTCCAGGGTACGTGTTGGAATGAAATGAAAGAAAATAGAGAAAAATGAAGTATGTATCACATTTCTGATCACTTCAGATTTAAAAGATATAAAATGCAGAGACTTGTTTTGGAATTTAGCTTCAAATATTCCAGATTCATTAAACTGAAAATCAAAACCCAGAGTCTGATCTCTGCTGTATGTTTACCATCAAATTCAACCAGGACCACTGAGCAATATACCCTGATTCTGACTGAGTCCATTAATAGGAAATGACATAGTAGCAACTAACCGATGGAATGGCTGTTGGTTAGATGGACAGTCTTTTCCCTTTTGCTTTACAAAACAATGTGCTATTTACCTACATGGACTGTTTAAATAATGGTATATTACTTCATTTAGCATATTGCCTAATTTAATTCAGCAAGTGAACTCTGAATAAGCCACCCTTCTGCATTATAAGCTGCATAATTTCTCCTAAAAATCCCTGACTATATCTTGGATTCAAATTTGCTGTAGTTGTTCCTGGAATCATGCATCATTTACTGTTTGGCAAACCATCTTAATGTGTACACTGTAACATCCAGGCTTCAGAGTTGTGCATACAAATTGCATAGAAGCACTTCACATTTAGATTCAATTAACAGAATTTCAGAAGCTATTATTATTGTATTTCATTCTTTTTTAAAATTGATTGGAAAAAAAAATTGATTGGTTCCCATGAGTTGTTAAAAATGAAAATCTGAACTCTTTTCTGAGACAAGCAGTTATAACAAAACTTTGTCATTTTTCTCTCCCTGCCGTCTCATTTTGGTAAGCTTTTTATCTTTGAGGGTGCAGCATTAACTGAAATACATGGAAAACTAGAATGAATTTATCAAAAAAGGTTCTTGTTTAACAGAATACATCTCTTCTAATAGGAGAATTGTACTTTGCAAATATAAGCATTCTTAAGTCCTGTAAAGTACTTAATCCCCCCTACCATCACAAATGCAAGCATTTTATCTATTGCTCTCTCCTCCCTTTCTTTGTCTCTCTCTGTCTCTCTGTCACTGTTTTATTTAAGATTCTAAAAGGAATTAAAGATATTTCTTCCTATTAAGTTTCTTCAAGAAACTTTTAATTATGAAAAATTAAACATATTCACACATAGGATGAAATTCTATGCATCCATAACCTAGATTCAACAATCACCAGATCTTTAAGTCCTCTGTACCCAACTTTGATCAACTTCCCTTGGCCTTTAACAAAACCTCTCATCTGTTTTGTATACAGTAGGCAGTTGAAAATTAGAAAAAGGAGATGAGAAATGAAGAGCAAGTATCAAGGATAAGAATGGATTCTACAAGTAATCTGCACACTGTTAGAAGTTAATTAATTAAAGCATCAAAGACAGAATTAATCAATTTCCTATTCCTTTCATTTTAAATAGTGGGGGCCTGATATTATACACTCTTGCCAGCATGTAGACAACTACACAGCAGGCCAAGGCTGCTACGGAGACTAGAAGAGGCGCTTTGCAGCAAAGACAGGCTGATCCACCAAAGTGAATCAGTTATGCATTTACACATCTCCCTCTTTGTCAGATCTCCTTCCCGTTTAGGTCAGCACAAAGCGCTGAGTCGACTTTCCTGTGCGGTCCAGTAGATTCTCACTAATTCCCTATTTTATACACAGCGGAGTATATATGTTAAAACATCAGACAAGGGATTACCCTCCCAACTACACAAACAGCCCATTCAGCTCAAAATAAAAAAAGGCAGCTCTTATGCTCTGGATTGTATTGAATGAGGGCAAGTCTTAGTACTTCTTCAGGTGACAGAAAACAACTTAACCTGAATGTTTCTACGGAACAATCAAATGAGGGGGTCAGAAATGACTGGTCATTCTGTTCAGTGTCTTGAAAGTTTGTTAGCTCCTGACACGTTCTACAAAGATACCATCATCCACACTTACACATGTATACAATATAAAATATCTGTATACAATGTAAAATATCTGTTACATACCTACACAACTACCCTCTTGAAACAGAAATAAAAATTTTCATATGATCTAGGAAACTACTTCAAAATTCTGTCAATGATCTTAATCTCTATTGAGATAGTTACCTCGATGCCTCAATACGGTACCAGTATGAGTCATCAATAGTTAAATCTGGGTACTCGACACGCCCAACTCCAGATCCAACATCCCAGAGGAAGCTTACTTTGCCTTTACGCATTTCTATAGCTAGAAAGTCAATCTAGTGCACAAAAACAAAACAATAGGTATTAGATATAAGGCACCATGAAAAAGGAGGCCAGCAGAGTCTTTTCAACGGGTGCTATTTACAGATTTGGGAAATAAATAGAAGCATCACAATAAAAATCCCCAAATACGATGATTTACAATTATTTATTAAACAATAAATAACTTTACTACTGTATCTTAATAATACCATGTCTATACACATGTATGATGCAGTGCTGAGGCAAATGTGTTAATTCAACCAATTCTACTTAGGTCTAACATTGAGACAAATGCCTTTTCTCACACTGATCCTGGAGATAAAAGCAAATATTTGGGTTCAGAATTCATCATTTTCACCACAGGTGCTGACATTTTTGAGGGGCCAGATATGATTTTTCACCCAAGGTGATCCAGAATTTCTCACCTAAATTCTAAGTATTGATTTATGTGATCAGTGTTCTGTTGAAAAGTCATTCATTTTGGAAAGTCTCCATGCACACAAAGTCACATGGGTTAATTGAAAGGAACTAGAAGTTTGGGGTGAGCTTGTCTAGATGCAATTTCTGTTATTTCAATTTGAGTCACAAATTCAACATAAATCAGAAGAGTTTTCACTGATAGGAAATCAGTACGCAATTTTCCATTTGATTTCACATGAACGTTCATTGTAATTTCTTAAAGTTTTTTTTAAAAAAAGCTTTATCCCTATTAATCTTTTTTCTTGAGTAGTTGGATCTGAAAATTTAGTTAAAAAATAAATGTTGGTGTACTTACACATGAAAGTAGATGTGCCTAAGCACTGTAAAAAGTTTTCATTCCAATTGCTTTCTAACGACACGTCAGAACTTTGTGAGGTAAGATTCTGAGGTTTTCAAATCTGAAAGGCTACCTTATTCAATTTTGGGACAATGTCATTAAATTCTATACATTTCCCACACTACCAGGATTAACCTGACTGTACACAGACACAGTGGGCCAAAGAAAAGTTGAATGTTAGACTTACAAATTTGGCACTTCCAAGATAAAAAAGGAGGTTGTCTGCAACAGCCGTCTTTACATTGACAATGATATTATTGTAGCTTCCTTTCTTGATTTCTGGCTTGTATGTTCGAATGCAGTCACCTCCCGAAGACACAGATACTTTGATCTTCAAGAAAAACAACGTACAAAGAACCAAGGCTAAATCTCTCAGAAAGTTTGAAGTAGCAAGTAGCTCCAAACAACCACAGAGCCGTCATCATCTCTTCTTTGAAGTTATTTTCTCTCATTGAATAGTATCACTAAATGCCCCCATATGCAGACACCATTATACTCATTAATGATGGCCCAGAAAAGCACCTTTCCACCAGCATCTTGACAATGAGCTGTTCACAGTCCCATGGTTTGCTAGCCCATCACTATTTTTGGAAGCATATAACTAACAAATTCTTACCTTCATACCTTACTCCTTTATGAATAGCAGAATATTCTCAAAAGATGATTTTACATGAAGCTAATGGTACAGATCTTCATTCGGGTAGTTTCATGAAATTTTACAATTCAAATTTCAGTGATTGTGGTATCACTTAAATAGGAAATCATTTTTCTTTTAATTTTTGAGAGGAAATTACCGACCTTCCCATATTCTTACAGTTGAAAGAGGCCAACTAGATTTTGTTCTAGATGTTCTAGCAATAAGAAGGATCTAATCATTCCACTATGAACATACATTTCAGAATAAATTATACCTTTTTATTAAGCTGCCAGGAAATGGGATAGAAATAATTTCCAGTGGCTATCATCACTAATGTATTTAACAGCTCCTTTTCTTTTGACTGGTACTTCAAAAATTACTATAAATTGCTAAGAAAGAAATTCCTATGTGAATAGAGCTGACACTGTTCATACCAGTTTTTACTTACATTTAGGGAGCCTTTCTTCAATCACAAATAACACTAATTGATTATTCCATTTAATTTTCTTTCATTTCTGTGTACCATCAAAGGGGTGTTTTTAGGACAGCAATGCAGTTGCTTGGACTCAGAGAGAGATTCTGTTAGTTTGTTAGCATCAGTGCTCAAAGTAGGAGGTAGAGAGACATAATACTTCTTTACCCCACTGATTTAAATTCCTGGCTTCCAGAAGCCTCTTAGTCCTCACCGGGGGTGAGTTTTCATTTTTTCATTCCTTATAGCACTTTTCACACATGGGAGAAAGCCAAGGGGTATGTATCACTGTTACCTCCATAAGGAGACAGCCTAGGACACCAAACCAGTCTTCTTCTTCTGGTGAGACAAGGATGTGTCCTGAAGAGTCTAAGAAGGGATGGTGTAAGACAGCACCAAGACCCCTCGCAAGGGCAGTGCAGACCACACAGAGGATGAGCTGGATTAAAAATTGGTTAGATTCAAAAGAGAAAGCTAAGGAGAGATTTTTGGTTCCCCAAAACATGAGAACTCTTGGGGATATAGCAGATCTCTTGAATCTCCTACAGATCCAGTGTAAGTCATATATTCGTACTGTTTCTCCACCTAATCTGCTTTCCAAACTGTACCCCCAAGTAAAGAAAAGAGTGCTGAGAAGAAACAGGGGCTCTGTGTGAGGCCTGGGCTGGAATCACCTAGGAAGCCTGCTGCTTAGACGGCTCTGCTTGCCCTTACCTTTCGCCTAAGGATGGAACCCAGACTGCTAACTGAGCCCAGTTTTGAGGGCCACTCGGTCACCAGAGTATTTGCCTTAAAGTGCTGCAGATTTTGTCTTCCTGCTTACATGGTTTTCAATTAAGAGGTTAGTTCTTTGCTTCACAAATGACAGGATTTCCTTTCTACATAAAATGCTAAGAGCACATGAATCAAAATAAGTTACAGAGAAACAGAACCAGAAAATGGATAACTTTTACTCTGAAGTTAATACTATAAAGCAGATGTGCAGGAGAGGTTGGCAAAGGGTGTTACATGATAAGTAGCAGCTATACAAAGCATTATCCAGGGCTTAGAGATTAAAAAAGGGATAAAGTGAAGCAAGAGAAAGGTAATCGAGTGAAGGGCAGGTAGGGAAAATGCAGTTCTCAGATGTTTTTGGTGTTCAGGAAGAGGTATAGGATACAGTGAGTTTTTAGGAATTTGCAGCAACTGAACCAAAACCATCAGCAGAGATCTTGTCACTGAGCAAATTTAATATCTGAAGTGGGCTGTAAGTGCCACCAACATCATAAAAAGATCAAAGGGAAGAAATCAAGATCTGACGGGAACTCATGAATCAAACTGAGTAACATATTGAACTATCTCTGGCAGGAAATCATATCCAAATTCCTGATGGGGCTGGATTAGGCATCAAAAGTAACTATGTGTGTAATTTATTTCTATTTCATAACGACTTATAGGGTTGCCACAGAGCTTATACAGGGCTTCCCTGGTGGTTCAGTGGTAAAAAACCCACCTGCAATGCAGGAGATGCAGGCAGGTTTGATCCCTGGGTTGGGAAGATCCCCTGGAGAAGGAAATGGCAACCCACTCCAATATTATTGCCTGAAAAATCCCATGGACAAAGGAGCCTGGAAGTCCACAGGGTTGTGAAGAGTTGGACACGAATGAGGAGCTGGGCATGCATGCATATGTGTTATAAAGAACACAACATGTTAATAGTAATATTCCTCAGTTACTGCTTAGAGAAGAAATGACTGGATATGGGTGAAATGCATGACTGCTTACGATGAGTTTCTGCCCTTGCATGGGTATACTTGGTAAAAATGACAGGGGTATTACATGACTGGAATGTTGAAAAGGGGGTTCTCAAAGTGTATTAGACAGCGCCCAGTACAGAAGCCTAATTCAACTGATGAAACTTCATCTGAGGATTGAAAGTCTGAGAGAGCAGCCATTTTAGAACTAAGGGTGTTTAATGTCTCTAGGAGTTACAATTCATCTGCTTTATGGCAGCTTTACTTATTGAAAATATATGGTCCTCTGAACAAAATGGTGTTGTTACACCCAATACACCAGCAATTAATCTTGTAAAGTTATTTATCACTCAACTCTTACACATTTTTACAGAACTCTCTGGACTTTCTGTTCTCTGGCTTACAATGTTGAATATACCCTCAGTATCCGTTCAAAAATATTGGTAACCCATTGATAGCTACTGATTTCTCCATTTAAATACCTTGTGTTTTGTTTTCCAATTATAAATGTTTCTTTTATCTATCTTAAAACAAGTAAATCAAAGGGAAGTATCTATACATTTCTCTAAAAGAAATCGCTGACATATAATCCCTCTCATAAGAGGGGAGAGACTTTTGAAACACAAATATCCTCAAGTTACTTTTTTCTATCAATTATTATTTCTTTTCTTTTCTTTTTTTTGGCTGCATCAGGGAGCATATAGGATCCTAGTTTCCTGACCAGGGATTGAACCCAAGTGCCCTGTATTGGAAGTGCACTGTTAACCACTGGACCTCCAGGAAAGCCCTGTATCAATTATTATTTCTAAAGTCGATCCTTAATAAGACTTCTAAACAAAAATCAGTAAGAAGTAGGTATCTCTAAGGCATTTCTCATACAACATTGTTTACCAATTCATCATCATGAACTCAATTAAACATTATTGAGAATTCCATTATTATATCTATTGGATTTTCACTGCATTCTTTCATCCAGTTAACCAGGCCATTCATTTAAAAAGAATGTCAGCCACTCAGTTTCAGAGCCAACAAACCAAAAGAAATCTACTTAAAAATAAATATCTTTAATTTCTTGGTCATACTGAGTATGTGTTAAGGCCACATCCAGACACTCATGCCAGATTACAAATATATTTCTAAACTAGGAAAATGTAATCTTCAATGAGTATAAAACCCACTGGAAAAAAAGTTGGTTGCTTACAAATTTCTAACATCTTAAAAAAATAAGGCTCTTTGTTGTTAACTTCAGTTTCAAAAAGTAGTTGCAAGTTTCCTCAAAAGGCATGGAAAATGGATATTTTTCAAGCACTACTTTTATACCTTTCTTTCATTTTTTTTTTTAATGCTGTAAAGGGTGAGGAGAAAGGGGATCCTCCTGCACGGTTGGGAATGTAAATTGGTACTGCCACTTTGGAGAATAGTAGAGAGGTTCCTTAAAAAACTAAGAATAGGTTCATCTGCTTCATTAGAACAAACTCAAAAGTGGTTCTTTTAATGGCTGAGTGATATTCCATTAATGATGCAGGGAGCCCAGGCCTGGTGCTCTGTGACTACCTAGAGAGGTAGGATGGATTACCTAAAGGGGTGGAAGGGTGGAGAGAGGTGCAAGAGAGAGGGGGCGCAGGTATGCCTGTGAGTGATTCGTGTAGAGGTATGGCAGAAACCAACACACACTGTAAAGCAATTATCCTCCAATTAAAAAGAAACCACCTAAACATACAACTACCATATGATCCAGCAATCTCACTCTTGGGCATATATCCAGAGAAAAACATGGTTCAAAAGGAGGCATGCACCCAAACTTCACTGCAGCACTGTTTACAACAAACAAGACATGGAAGCAACCTAAATGTCCATTGACACAGGAATGGATAAAGAAGTGGTACCCATACACAATGGAATATTACTCAGCCATTAAAAAGAATGAAATCATGTCATCTGAAGCAATATGGATGGACCTGGAGATATCATATTTAGTGAAGTAAGTAATTTTGTATTTTGGGACAGGTTTTATATATTTATATGCCAGAATTTTATCTTTCTTCCCAGTGGGTGGGGATGGGATGAGGAAGCACACATAATTGATGAATATATGGGCATATTTTAAAATTCCTTTACAATGAAGAAATAATAAAAATGTCCATATCTTTCCACTTGGTTATTAAGTCAAAAACTGTGGCTAAAAATGTGATTCACAAGCTGGAATCAAGATTGTCTGGAGAAATACCAACAACCTCAGATATGCAGATAATATCACTCTTATGGAAGAAAGTGAAGAGGAACTAAATAGCTTCCTGATAAGGGTGAAAGAGGAGAGTTAAAAACTCGCTTAAAACTCAACATTCAAACATAAGATTATGGCATCCAGTCCCATCACTTCATGGAAAATAGAAGGGGAAAAAGTGGAAGCAGTGACATATTTTACTTTCTTGGGCTCCAAAATCACTGTGGACAGTGACTGCAGCCATAAAATCAAAAAACTGCTCCTTGGAAGGAAAACTATGACAAACCTAGAGAGCATATTAAAAAACAGAGACATCACTTTGCTGACAAAGATCCATATAGTCAAAGCTATCTATGGCTTTTCCAGTAGTCACATATGGACGTAAGAGTTGCATAAAGAAGACTCAGCACCTGAAGAACTGATGCTTTTGAACTGCAGTGATGGAGAAGACTCTTGAGAGTACCTTGGACTGAAAGGAGATCAAACTAAACCTAGAGGAAGTTTAATTTGGAGATGGGAGGTTTGGTTATCTACAAAGATTTCAGATTTCAGTTTAAGCACGATAACATGAAAACTGATATTCATTCTATTTCTAGAAGAATCACAAGATGACTTCACTAAAGTTTCAGATTGGCATTTACAATTCTGTCTGGCTCATTAAACTATTATCTTTCAGAAAGTTTTGCCTCTATCTTTATAGTCTTATAACTGGGTTAATAAAGAGCAAAATTTTGAGACACGTAAAGTGCTTCCTACTCTTATTCCAAAAAAGTATAGAAATTGTAACCAAATGAATTTTTGGTTGCTTGGACTCAAATCAAAAAATATATAGAAAACAATGGCTCATCTTTGCTATTATTCCTTATAAGCTTGTCTGTTCATTCTTTCTTCAACCCCATTGGTTGGCCTTTTTTGCTTTCAAGAGTAAGGAATTCTCATCCATGCCTCTTTAGTATACAAAAATAAGGCTTCCGTTCTTGCAATCTGTATTAACTCTATTCAAACAATAATAAAATATATCAGAACTTTCATTTCCAAAACAGTAAGTGGTGATTATTCTTCTCAAGAAATATCTTTTGAAATATATGGGAAAAAAAAATCTAATCTTCCATTCCCCACCTCCCCCACAAATAGCTTCAAATTAAAGGAAAAGGACCAAAGCTCATTCAACAAGATACATTGGCAAAAGTATTTTTTCTGGGAATAATACAAACGTTACAATCATTTATTAATACTGAAAACAGAAGGAACTTACGGAATTAGCCTGTTTTCGGGCTTGGTTTATCAGTTCTTTTATCTCAGAGATATTTTTCTTCAGGTTATCCTCAAGCTCCTTGATGGGTTTAAGTTTGTCTATCAGTCTATCGGCTTCTTGTTCTAGATTTTTCACAGTGGCATCTGCATCTGCAACTGCACAGAACAACATGAGTGCATATCTCACACACACACATGTATACACATACCCAGACACATGCACAAACACGTGTATATACACACCCAGGCACACACACATGCACACACACATATACACACACCCAGACACACACAAACACACACACATGTATACACGCACCCAGACACACACATATGCACAAACATGCATACATATACACACACCCAGACACATGCACATGTACAAACACACATACATGCTGCACACACAGACACACTCATACAGAAATGAACATAGCAATATGCTTAACTAAACAATTGAAAGGATTTCATCTTATCCACAAGGCAAAGGCAAGGCCATGGCAGTTGAAGCAGTTTGTGGTAGCAAATGGAAATATTTCAGTTGGGACCCAAGTAGGCCAGAGGGGATGATGTTAGAGAAAGAGGGCTGACAACTTTGGCTTTGGGATTAATGTGCAAATCAGCATTAAAGATGGAGAATATGATGAGCTTAATTAAATGCTTAATTTTTAGCTTCAGTCCCCAAACTAACCTTTATAGCACAGAAATTGAGTCAAAGAATCAAGGAATTGGAAGCATCTTTAAAATGTCACTGAGTCTGTCCAAGCCAGAATTGTACTTAAATCAGGGTTTTCATACAAAATTAGTTTTTTTTTCTTTTTCTGTCTTTCTTTGTACATCTTAAAGAGAAAAGCTATTAAAATGTCTTCTGAAAAACATTTCAATGTTGAGCAACCCTCAGACTGAAGGCCTACATTATACTTTAAATCTTTCATGCTGCAGTTCATTTTTGTTTTGAAAAATAGTTGATTCTCCTGCTCTCTACATTAGGTTGAATCACATTAAACTGTCACTTTTGTAGCTAAAATTTAAAGGAGGTTGAATATTGATAAATTAGAAAGGGGTTTAACCCTAAAACAATTGAAGGTTATTACTGATCCTTAGACTTCCAGCTTGTATTTTTCATAGGGGGGCACAATGACACATGGAAAATCAATTATTCTGTCCCTAGGATGCTGGCAGCCTTATCCAAACTATGTCATTTATTATCTGGCCGAGCATGTACTGTTCTGTTTTCTGTCACTGTGATTCTGATGAAAAAGTGAAACTGCTTAAGGTCCAAGGTTACTGGCCCTGATGAACTAGGAGTGATCTGAGACTGAGTCTTTAGGAATAAATCAAATGAGTGCAAAAGGAAGTAAGTAATATTTTGAAGCATTTTGAACTCATGCTCACAAATATGAGTTATATTGTTCGTGATGTCTAAAAAGAACATAGGTCTATTATTAACCTCAACTAATAGAGCTGCTAGATCAAGAACTATTTTCTCCTGAAATGAGGGTTATTGAGTTCAAAACTCTTGTTACATAATTGTATAGGGAGTCAGCATAAAGATAATTACCCCTTCAGTTTTACACTTTAAATAAACCCTTTGTCCATTTTTTCCCTTCCTTTAATTCCCCAATATTACTCTGATATTCTTCAAACCATTCTAGAAGTGAGAAAAAAGGGATTTAGACTTAGATTCATGGAAATGAAAAAATTGTTATTCATGGAAATGAAAAAACTACTTAGGCTTAGACAAGTAATAGATCCCTTTCTTTTAAAGCTCTCAGAAGTTTTTACCTAATGTTTCAGAATGGAACCTGGAAGTCCCCTTATCCCTTGCTATTTTCCCCCCTCTATCTTCTGGAACAGTCAAAGTAATATAGAAATTATCTTCTTGAAGGTTTTTAAAAATAAATCACCTGTGATTTTGAGTCTGATGTTCTCTTATGCTGTAGTATTTGGAAACTTCTCATTTTTCCTATGATTATTTGTGTAGATTTTAAAATTACTTCTGAAGATAGATTTTGATAACAATGTTTTATTAGAAAACTCTCTCTTTTAGAGTTTAAAATATATTAGCCTAGAGTTTTGCCAAGTCCTCTCTTATGTGCTAAATTTCTTCCCTTATCTAGTTATAACTCCTGCAGAACTTTGCCTATTTGTTCTTCATTTTCCGTGATTTAAGCAGGTCAAGCATTTAAAATATTTTATCTTTATATTTCTAAAGATACATCTCTTGAATTTATCACATCTATTATTTTCTGTCTTCTAATTTATTAACTCTTTTTCATCTTCTTTCTTTTAGTTAGTTATTCTGTCTGACCCTTAGAGTTGGTTGCCTAACTTGTTTATTTGAAAGCTTTTTAGTAATATAATTGCACTCATTTTCCACTGAGGATAGACTTGGTCATATTTATCAGGTTTAGATATGTTCAGTTTTATTTTTATTATTTTCTACTTAATTTAAACTATGAGGTGTTTAAGACAGATAATTTTTATATCTCAGCGATTGCTCATTTGGTAAGATCTAATTTTATTAATTCTATTTTATGCTTCTCCAAGTATAATTCTCTTGAAGTTGAGAATAATTGCTTGTAAGGAGTGGGGAGTGAGCTTCGGGGGAAAAGCAACAACAACAGTGTAGATCTGATCTACTTTAATTCTGCTAGAAAGAAGTCATTTGGACTTCAGTGACTGCATTTGTATTATCAGAAGCATCATAATTCAATTAAATCTATGGAAGAATTCAATGTTATACTTTTATATGGATAACATATTTCACTAATTTTTCAAACACACATTCACACACTAATTCCTTTTCTATATCTAGCATTCTTACTGTGACACTGGAAAGAAGAGTATCCAATGTTTAAAGCCACATTAAAACATGGAAACATGCAAAGCTGAAGCTTTTTGTAATAAGCAATCAAGCATAAAAATTACTAAAAGGTATGAAAGTAAATATATACATACTGATTTCTGCAGGTAATTTCATATGGAAGTAAAACAGAAAAAATAGAAAATTTATGAGAAAATATTTTTCATAGATATTATAACATAGTGTCTGTCAAGAAAAATAGTACTTTTCACAACAGGTGCTAATTACAAATTCACTCCATTTTAAATCAAACAAGAGTTATCAAATAAAAATCCACAAAACACGTCACTTAGCAGGCCACTGTTCATATTAAAAGTTTTATTATCATGTTCTAATAAGATAGAAACAGACCCAGTGTAATTAGTGTTTATAGATATTATTTCTTTTCATAGATGATAGAATCACAAAAGGGAGATAAATATTATATAAGGCCACTCTCATTTGAGAATCAGTCTGAAAATGAATGAAATGATAACATAAAAGAGTATTATTTACTTTAAAACATCTTTTCATTCTTTTTGGGGGAGGGGGTTTGGATATTGTGATTTGGCATGCCTGTGAACCAGTTATTCAGATGGAATCTGAACTACCGGGGGAGCCTAGCTCTGGGTTTACACAATAAAAGCTGAAAAACTATATGTCTTCTCTTTCCCTCCCCTGAAGAAATGATGAGGAGTGAAACCCTTTTCCCTAACTCTGAAGGACACTTAGCTATGTCTGCACTCCTTGCCCAGGAAGGAGTTAGGTTAGCAGTAGCTATTATTTCAAAGTATCATGAACCTTTGATCTGAGTCAAAGATGCAGAAAAACCAGGCTCCACTCCCCAGTCAAACAGTGTTTGTAATCTGGATTATACAGTGTATAACGTCAATAACTGTGTTTTTGTTATTACACTCTACAAATGTTTTAATTCCCAATAAATACACTGGTTCTGTATAAAGAAGGTTAATCTCTTGAGACTGTGAAGTATAAAGAATCAAGCATATCCTTTGGTACAAGCACATATGAAGATAGCATTTTATCACTTGAAAGAAGAAAACAATATTAAAAATTATAATGCTTATTACTTAATAGTTTAAATTACTATATTTAGTTCTCCCACATTTTCTCAGTAAATCCATATTTAACTCAATATAGTTTAATGCAATATACAAAAGACATGAAGAAATATTCTTGATAAACTAAATATTTTAATTTCCTGATGTTAATTAACTAGAATCTTAAGTAATAAAAGACCAGTATTTTCCAAATTTGAATGCATTCAAGTTGATCCCATTTAGTATTCTTGTCTAACAGGCCTGCTAATTAGAGTGCTCCTTGACCTCTGGGTTCCATGGAATTTCAACAGCTCTGAGGATATAATTTCCCAAGTATAACTGCATTTTCAATTACACTGAAGGATTAAAAAGTATTTGGCATCCCTATGCCAAATACCATGCAGGCTTTGAGAATTCTTAATTTCCTCTTATCGGATGAAACTTGAATAAAATAAGCTCGAGTGAGGAGCTGGGTGTCTTATATTCCAGTTCTGGAGCCGTAGGCATTCAATTGCTGGGGCCAGTCTACGAAGGGAGGAGGGCAGACTGCATCACTATGAGGGCCCCTTCCTGCTCTAGCAGTGATGAGTCTAGGATACTTATAGAGTGTGAAGAAATAAGTGCAATAATCAAAGTGAAAAAGGAGATCTTACTGTTCTTTGAAGGATCTTTTATCACAGCATTTGTTTTGGCTACGCTGTCTGCTAGTTGATTGTAATTTTTCTTCAGGCCATCAAGGTTCTGGTGAAGATCTTTAATCTGCGCCAGTACATCTTTAGCTGTGTCGTTGGCTTGTCTTGCTTTGTCTTTAACGGCTTGCAGTTTAGTGGCTGTGTCTGTAAGCAGAAGACGGGATGAGAAACAAAACAAAGGCTCTGAAGTCAGTGGCTTAATCCACGCTTGTCAGAGAGAGGCTGCGCCTGGCTGACCTCAGGGACTCAGGCATGAGGGAAAGGCTGAACTCTGCCTCAGTCAGCTACAGCAAATGAAGCACATTTTCAGTGAAATTGAATTTTCTCAGGGACCTTCGTTATGAATACTTGATTAGCCCTTAAAATAGCAACATGATTATTCTAAAAGTTCATTGTGGAAGGCGATACTGTGATTTGCTGCTGAACATATTAAAGAGAGAAGTTTATCCATCTGAATCATATAGCCTCATCGAAAATAGTTTTAACATTTAATCTGCACTTCCAGGGTTGGGGGGAGGGAACAAATGTCTTTCAATTTTGGTAGAGAGAGACTTTTTCAGGTATATTAGACCATGGGTTTGTGTAAACAATTTATATTTGTTATCAGTATTGGAAATTTTCTATGAACATATTTACTACTGAAGAAGTGACATGAAAATCAGTACTTAGGCTTTTTAATGTTAAAAAAGTAAAAAAATCATTAAGGTTTTAATAGTTCCTGTTTGGTACAGACGTGTTTCCTTCACCATAATTTTTATAAAAAATGTACATTGCATATATATTTATGTGCCTACTAATATGTTGTAGATTAGTGTTAAGATCACAGCCCCTGAAGTTAAACTATGAGGTTGGAATCTTATGTCTCTTTTAACAACGGCCCTCAGTGTCCCATCTAAGTTTGTCTGTTGTAAAGTGGAGATAATAATGCTGTTCACCTTGTAGGATTAGTATGAGGGTAACATACACTTAACGCAAACATGCTGAATAAGCCTCGCTTAATAAAGGTTAGCAACTCTGGCTACCTTTGTATCAAGCTATTAAAATATAAAAATAGTATCTCCAAAACAATAGTGCTTTCAGTAACTAATAACAAACATTAACTCCAAATAACAGGTAATGCATAAAAAGATATTATAGACATGGTTCAATCTTAACGTCTTAATGTTTTTGCCAAGAAAAATGTGCTAAGGCAGCTGGTTCTTACCTATTACTGTAGGTATCATGTATGTGCTAAATTGCTTCAGTTGTGCCCAACTCTTTGTGGTCCCAGGGACTATAGCCCGTCAGGCTCCTCTGTCCGTGGGATTCTCCAGGCAAGAATAGTGGAGTGGGTTGCCATGCCCTCCTCCAGGGGATCTTTCTGACCCAGGGATCAAACCTGAATCTTTTATGTCTCCTGCATTGGCAGGTGGGTTCTTTACCACTAGGCCACCTGGAAAGCCCTGTAGGTACTGTAATAAACTGCAATTTTGAGGTAGTAAATGAACATTTTAGAGGATAGTGTCTGTATGATATTCTTTCACACCAATGTAAGATTTCCTGGGCTGAAATGTGGAAGAACACTACATTAACAAGATGTCTATTATTTTCTTTTTTATAATTTATTCCTACAAATGTCAGTTAACAAATAATAAACATCCTGGTGAAAAGTGTTTCTTAGCCTCTCATTCTTACAAACAATTCATAAGTAGGAAAAACCATTATCTAATAGCCTGACAATGGTACAAAGATAGTGCTAAAAAATACAGGCAGAGGTGGAACATTTTTTAAAAGTTCATTTCCATTAGGATAGGATAGCTTGCAGTGTCTGGAAATCTTACCATTTGGAATGGCTGCTAGCTTGTCCAAAGTGTCATTCAAAGCTCTTAGGAGATCCCCGTTTCTGATATTGGCATCGTCTAATCTGGCTGTCAAGCCATTCAGTTGGTCATCATTTTCTGTGAACAGAAAACAAAAAAGGATGAAACAATTTTAATCCTCTCTGAACTTACAGATGGATATACAGTTTCAGGTTATTTTATAAAATTAATTGTTATTGGGGCACAGTTTCTTTACAATGTTGCATCGTTTCTGCAGGACAGAAAAGTGAGTCAGTTATATGTTCACATACACCCCCTAGTGAGTCAGTTATACGTTCACATACACCCCCTAGTTTTTGGATCTCTTTCCCATCTAGGTCACTTCAGAGTGCTGAGTAGAGGTCACTGCGCTATACAGCAGATTCTCACTAGTTATCTATTTTATACGTAGTAGAGTGTATATGTCAATCCCGATCTCCCAATTCACCCCACTCCTGCTTCCTCTCTTGGTATCCATACATCTGTTATTCTTGTTTGTGTCTCTATTTTTGCCTTGCAAATGAGTTCATTTCGTGCATTCAACTAAAGTGAGTGCATCATTTTTATAGATTCCACATAAAAGCAATATTACACAATTTCAGGTTATTTTAATAAATAATTATTTAATAAGAAGAAAATTAATTTATTTTAACTTATTGGCATCTGTATACAATATATTTCAGATCAGATTATAAAATATGTATTTATATGACTGTGTGACACACAAATATATTCAACAATTATATTTTTTCTGGTAACTTATTCTTATTTGACTTCATTTGATGGTTTTCTATGGAGAAAAACTTTGAAAGATTTGGTCTTTTATTGCATCTATAATGATACCCTCTTGATATCACTCAAATTAATGTCATTATTTTTAAAACTTTATTATCAAAATGGATCACTGAATTAGTTTTTAAAAATCTCAAATAGACATGACTGTTAAGCAGAATCTCCCAACTTTACTAAAGATCACTTAGTAATATTTGAAAAAAATAAAAATCAAAGGGATGAAAAAACAGCCTCTGGCACATTTTTGTTTTTTTATAGAGAAAATAACATTTTACAAATTGATTTAAGTAGTCTTTATATAGGTTTTTTCTTGCTACTTTAGCAGGCTTTCTTTAACAATTAAAATGTATCATTTACTGTGGAAGTGGAAGGGTCAATTGCTCAGTTGTGTCTGACTCTTTGCAACCTGATGGACTGTAGCCTGCCAGACTTCTCTGTCCATAGAATTCTCCAGGCAAGAATACTGGAGTGAGTTGCTATTCCCTACTCCAGGGGATCTTCCTGACCCAGGGATTGAACTTGGGTCTCGAGCATTGTAGGCAGATTCTTTACCCTCTCAATCACAGGGGAAGTCAGATAATGTAATATTACTAGTATAAATTGCCCAGCTTCTCTCCACTAATTTTTTAACATGTTCAAATGTTAAGTTAGTTTGTCTATAACATTGTATTTTATAGCACATAAAAACCAGGAATGACACAAGAAAGACAGATAAAGATGGTATGAAGGATGACGCACTAAATGATGTACTTTCATTTTACACCTGGTTGTGCTGGTTAATTTGTTTTCTCTGTGCAAATACTTTTGTTTTTTCATTTAAAGAAGTTAAAGAAAAAAAGTAACTTGAAACGCTGAAGACCATTATCTACCAACACCGACTGTTGCTCTCATCACTTTCCTGGTACCCAGAGTGGGCAGACCAGAAGACTACACCTCACTGAACAGAACAGAGCAGTTTTGATTGGATTGTGTGTCCACCTCTTGCAGAGGTGGTGTGTCTGGCTTCTTGGAGGAACGAAACAAGCCGCTGGCAGCTTAGGGAACAATCTTTGTTTTTATTGGCTTTCATCTGGGAAGACTAGCAAAGGGAAGGGGAGATAGATGGAAGATTCTTAACTATCAGTGTTCTGGATGTGATAAAGAGTACTGAACATATTAATTAATGATCCATTCCATTTCATATCAGGGTTTTATAGGCAGACGAATTACACCACTGTTATACCACAGTAATATAAGCACATAATATTGTTGGAGGCATCTGCTTTTAGGTTCCAAGCCAAACATCTAACATTATAGAAAAATAAAGCATAAAATATTCCAGAAAAACGTGGCTCTAAAACATCAATATGTCCATTCCAGTCACTAAGATATTATTTTCAATGCTAGTCCTTCAAAATATACTTTCCAAGTAATTAGATTTTCTCCTCTGTCAATCACAATTTATCTTTCTTTTAATACTTCTGCTATTTTCACTGTACTAAAATAAAATCTTTGAATAGGTTATGGAAAGAATACTTTTTGAAATAAAGACAATCTCACTATGACTGTGATATCTATACAAATTCCCTGAGAATAGTTAAAGGCTGTTCTTTTGATAATAATTTAGAAGCCTTCATCAATTAAGGAAATGGAACAGTACAAATTTCATTTCTTAGTTTCTTGATTGGATTTGACTTTTTAAACAATGAAACATTTAAAATGTGCTGGCAAGCAAGATATTCATGTACAACTGAGAAAACCATTAATTTAAAGGGCATCACTTGGTTTATACTATTTTATGAATTCTGATAACAAATACTGGCTGAACAATCAGGCCAATTATTCAGAACAAAGACTGATTTGAGGAACATTGTTACTGCCATTCCTCAAGTTTCAAAGCAGTAATTTTGTTCCTCTGCTTTCTGTACTAGAAAGTAAAAATGGGACTATTCTGAGCCTGTTCTGATTTCTTTGTTTCAGGATTTTACTCTTTTCTTCTTAGGTTATCCTTTCTTATACCCTAATTATTTTTCTCTGAAGTACCTTTTAGAATTTCTCAAACCAAGTCTAATCACTTTATCACTTTGTCAGTCTAATTCTTCAGATAAACAGAAGTTATGTGCAGAAAATAATTGCTGATTTTAAAGTGTAAAACATAAAATGTTAGCCATGCAAAACTAGGAAAATAAATGATCCAAGGCTGCCTTTAAATGAAGATACCTGAGGCAGAGGTTTCTATAATAAAAATGAAAGGAAGAATGCATGGGTAGCAGTTTGAACGGTAACACGGACAAAGAGAGAATTATTGGTAGTTAAGATAAATCCAATCCAACTCTTACAATTTTTGATGAACAAGAAAAGGAGCCAAATTACAATCCACAGTGCTATCTTGCACACCTTTCTCTCCTTATTTCCTCACTTTTCATACCCAATAGCTATAGCCAAGTCACCTATGCTCTCTCCAGATACAGCATCCACTGAACCTCAGTGGCTCCATACACACGCTCTAATTTTGGCGCTCCCTTTCTCATCCACTCCCACACACTAGAAGACAAGTGTCCAGGATGAGTTTGGCAAAGACAGAGCTCATAAACAGAGAAAACAGGCAGAGCAGCCAGGCTGGACTGTGAACACGCCTGACAACATCATTTCCCCTTGTGTAACATCGAATGAGGTAGACGTATTCAGAATGAAAATCACTAGACAGAGTCGCAAGTTACTTCCATTAATAATAATACTAATTTACTCATGTTGACCATGTTCCTGTTACTACGCTAAACGTATTAGCATTTAGCTAACTTGGAACTGGTAACATTGAACTATGTAATAATTCAAAATAAAGCTATTACAGGTATTTCTTTGATCATTGATGATGCATTCTTTTACATAATCTAGCCATTAGAGAAAGTAGTATAATGCAATGAAATAATTATAGGACTTAAAGTTGGAAGATGTGGGTTCAAATATCATTTCTATCCATTTTTACAAGTGTAAAATGAAGATTATGTCATATGACTGTTACGAGAAATCAGCTGAAGGATGTATGAGGAAGTATTGGATTTATTATGCAGTTATTAAAAGGTAACAAAATAATTTACACCGGTTTGGTAATTCACATTGGGTCGAGAATTGCTTTGGTATTTTTGCCAGTTTTCAGTAATGTTATTTATGATTTACTTTCTTCTGTGTTTAAAGTGCATCATCGAGAATCTAAAGTTGCTTATTTTCCTTCTATATGTTCTTAATATATAGCCCCCATTATCAACTAAATATAAGAATGATTTTATATATTTTAATGGGAATGTTCTATTTTGACTATTCAAACATATCTAATTAAGTTCCTCAAATTCAATTTTTAACTTTTTACTCACATGAAAGTGAAAGTCACTCAGTTGTGTCTGACTCTTTGTGACCCCATGGACTATACAGTTCATGGAATTCTCCAGGCCAGAATACTGGAGTAGATAACAAAACACAAATAAATACCTTGAGAGAATCTCTCATTCATAAGGGTGAAGTTTGTAGAATTGTTTTCAATATTGAAGGGGTCTAGTTAAATGGAACTACTGCAAATTACCATATAGATAACATTTTGCAAACAAAATTTTCATTATCATGAAATTTGTCTTATGAGCTACTACTACTTAAACTCAGTTTCACTTTTGATTTGCTTCTTTATCAAAAAATGGAGGAATGGCTTCTCTTTTAAGATTTTTTTATACAAATATTTTACAAAGTAACAAATATATTTCATCTTTTGTTGTAGAGGCTCCTTCTAAATTGTTGCTGTTTAGTCACCCAGTTGTGTCTGACTCTTTGCAACTCCATGGACTGCAGCACACCAGGCCTCTCTGTCCCTCACCATCTCCCGAAGTTTGTCCAGATTCATGTCCATTGCACTGGTGCATCCAGCCATCTCATCCTCTGATGCCCTCTTCTTCTGCCTTCAATCTTTCCCAGCATCAGAGACTTTTCCAATGAGTTGGCTGTTCACATCAGATGACCAAAATACTGGAGTTTCAGCTTCAGCATCAGTTCTTCCAACGATTATTCAGGGTTGATTACCCTTAAGATTGACTGATTTGATCCCCTTGCTGTACAAGGGACTCTGAGGAATCTTCTCCAGCATCACAATTCGAAGGCATCCGTTCTTCGGCACTCTGCCTTCTCTACGGTCCAGCTCTCACCACAGTAAGTGACCACTAGGAAGACCATACAAAGCCTTGACTATATGGACCTCTGTCGGCAGAGTAGTGTCTCTGCTTTTCAACCCACTGTCTAGGCTTGTCATAACTTTCCTGCCTGGAAGCAAATGTCTTTGATTTCAT